TGTGTATTTAATTGTTGATATGTGAAAGAATTTATGTGGGCACAATGCAAGCTCTGAGCATTTGGCCTTCAAGAAGCGAGTCTTGGCCCTCTTTTGTGGTAACCCGATTGGATTTTGAATTGGTTTCTTGTTATAATTCAATTAAAAGGAAGCAAAGAAGAAAAAGATTTTATTTTTGTGATTCTCTGAGTCATAAGAATGGGAATAGTTTTAGGAGCCAAAAATGGGATATGGGATGTAAGTTCTTTTGTATATACTCTAGACCTGAAGTTTATACGTTCTCTAAGCCAAAGAAAGGTTGTTTTGGTGAATCTTTTGCGTTGACATGGGCGTCGGAGGAACTAGCGGTTGGGAACAATGTCATGGAAGAAAACATAGATTCCTTGAATGATTTTTCTGAGAATAAGGACATTGGTCACGTTCGATTGGAGAGCATAAAGGTGAGGGACTCGAACTGTGGAAACAAATATGATAGCGAAAGTGGTGACAATGATGATGATTATGATGATCGGGAACAAGGGGAACTTCATTTGAAAGATAAGGTACGAAGTGAGAATAGTAAAAAGGTGGATTTTAGTCGTGTTCAATTGGAGGCAGAAAAGGGGAGGGACTCGGTCCGTGGCAACAAATGTGATACCAAGGGTGATGATGATCGACGACAAATTCATTTGGAAGAAAAGGTACGTAGAGAGAATAGCACAAGGGTTGATGTCCGGGCACTAGCATTGAGTTTACACTCTGCCACAACTGCAGAGGATGTGGATGAGGTTTTAAGGGACAAGGGTGAACTGCCTCTTCAGGTTTATTCATCTGTACTTAGAGGTTTTGGCAAAGACAAAAGGCTAAATTCTGCAGTGGCTCTTGTTCACTGGCTCAAGAGAAAGAGCAAGGAAACGAATAGTTCTATACAGCTCAATGTGTTTATATATAACAGCCTTTTGGGAGTTGTGAAAGAGACTGAAAATTATGATTTTGTTGAACAAGTAGTAAATGATATGGCTGTGGAAGGGGTTCATCCTAATGTTGTGACATACAACACTTTAATGTGTATTTATATAGAGCAAGGTCGGGAAGTTGAGGCTCTTAATCTTTTCGAAGAAATGCCACAAAAGGGTGTATCTCCATCCCCTGCGTCTTATTCTACGGTCTTATTTGCTTATCAGAGACTGGGAGATGGATTTGGAGCTTTGAGGTTTTATGTTGACGTAAAAGATAAGTACCAAAAAGGTGAAATTGGAAAAGATGATGAAAATTGGGAATATGAGTTTTCAAAGTTAAAGAATTTCTGTATTCGTATTTGCTTCCAAGTCATGCGGCGTTGGCTTGTGAATAGCGAGAATTTTAGCACTGACTTGTTGCGACTACTAAAGGAGATGAATCTTGTCGGGCTTCGTCCTGAACGTGCAGAACACGAGCGCCTTGTGTGGGCATGTACTCGTGAAGAACACTGTGCTGTGGCTAAGGAATTGTATGCCAGGATAAGAGAATGGGACACTGAAATAAGCTTATCTATATGCAATCATGTCATTTGGTTAATGGGAAAGGCGAAGAAATGGTGGGCAGCTCTTGAAATTTATGAGGATTTGTTGGACAAAGGGCCGAAACCAAATAACATGTCCTATGAACTGATTGTCTCTCATTTTAATATACTTCTGAGTGCAGCTAGAAAAAGAGGAATTTGGAGATGGGGTCTGAGGTTGCTCAACAAAATGGAAGAGAAAGGCCTTAAACCCGGCAGTCGGGAATGGAATTCTGTTCTTGTTGCCTGTTCCAAGGCTTCAGAAACTTCTGCTGCTGTTCAGATATTCAAGAGAATGGTCGAACAAGGTGAAAAACCGACAATAATCTCCTACGGGGCATTGCTTAGTGCTCTTGAGAAAGGAAAACTCTACGAGGAGGCCGTTCAGGTTTGGAAACATATGCTTAAAGTCGGCGTTGAGCCAAATTTGTATGCATATACTATTATGGCCTCAATTTATGCTGGACAAGGAAAATTCAACATTGTTGATTCCATCATCCAGGAAATGGTTTCGGTTGGGATTGAGCCAACTGTTGTCACATTCAATGCAATTATCAGTGGATGTACACGAAATGATTTTGGAAGTGCAGCATATGAATGGTTTCAGGGCATGAAACTTCAAAACATAACACCGAACGAGGTTACTTATGAAATGTTGATTGAAGCGCTTGCCAAGGATGGTAAACCGAGACTTGCTTATGAGTTGTATTTGAGGGCTCAGAATGAGGACCTTGCTCTCTCTTCAAAGGCTTATGATACAGTAGTCCAATCATCAGAGGTATATGGGGCAACAATCGACATATGCACACTAGGCCCTCGACCACCGGAGAAAAAGAGAAAAGTGCAGATCAGGAAAAATTTATCAGAATTTTGTAGCATAGCTGATGTTCCTAGAAGAAGTAAACCATTCGACAGACAAGAAATTTATACTTCACAGAAAGAAGGATTACACAAGTGAATATTGAAATTCTGCGAGCATCTATACTGCCATCTGTATGCACTTTAAAGCAAGGAAGGGTCCTTTTCTTTATGCATAGTTATTGAAGGTAAAATTTGTTAAATTGCTATACGTAGCAGATATTCAGATTCACGAACAATGCTAGGAGAATAGTATCGACAATGCTCTTGTTAACTAATGTTGTTGAGGTTCTTCCATACTAAATTGATCTTTCAGGTTACTTTTATAGAGACATCTAGATTTCTCTGCTTGTACGCCTGGAGAATGAATTGGATAATCTTGATTATGATTCTGCCTATTCTCATAATTAAAGATTGCATTGTGATATTTGATATTAGTGTTGGTTACTCTTTCGGGTGTCACAAGATTGATGTTTGAAGGATATTCTGCCATATCAACAGTTTCCATCGGAATTTATATTATCTTTTCCAGATGCGTTTCATACAGCGGCTCAGCTCTGCCTGTATCCTTATTCTACATCTCCCTGTACTACATCTTCGAGGACACAAGTTGCATGAGTGTAAAAATCAGAATTTGACGTCGGTTTTAGGAAAGAACTTGCCATGCATATGATGATTGGTTTGAAATTGCACAACTTCATGCACTAGGCACATGCTTAGAGAAGACGAGAGAAATTTGGCATATCATTGCCTTGCCATTTCATCGTGAGCTCATCATCAAGTGTAGAAATATCGGGTTTTTAGAGCACTTGTCTTTTTTTTTATCGGTATAAGTAAATTACTATAGATCAAAACCTCATGTACAAATACTCCAGGTCTACCCGAGCGAAACAACAATCAAGTGGGACATACAACTATTTCGGGCATTTCCAGTCAAACAAAGAAAGAGTATAAATGAAATGGATTAATGTCCCATAGCTAACGACTCAAAATGAATCAAAACATTCAGATACAAAGAGAACATAAATTTGTATGTGTGTGTTTTAATTCGTCTAATAGTGCTATCGACATGGAGTCCCAAGTCCTCAAAAATCCTCCCATTTCTTGTTATTCAGATGTAGTAGACTGTGCTCGCTAATGCAATCCTCTTGACTTTGCTTTGCCAAGATGTCCTAGCCTCCTTGTCCTAGCCTCCTTCTTGATCCACTTTAATGCACTAGCAATAGTAGTCATCGTTCTTCTAATGCACACCCACTCCTTGATATTCTTCCAAACATACAAAGAGAACGGACATTGAAAAAATATATGATGTCTAGTTTCTTCATGTGATGCACAAAAAATGCAAGTAGGGTCAACATTAAGTTACGGTAACCTGTCTTTGGTGAGCAACTTTGATTGCGTCTCCAACCAAAGAATTAAAGAGTGCTTCGATGTAATGTACGATCTCCATACTTCAATAGTCCAGCCCCTCTTTACTCCATCTTGTCTGAAGAATTCATAGGCCACACCCACGCATACAAAAACAGCCCACCTCTGTCCATGTAGTTAGCTTGGCCGTAGCTACTTACACTGTCGAAACTGTCTAATCGCCCTGCACTACCATAGCTGCTTACCTGCATGACCAGCCTGCATAGCCGCAGCAGCCTGTCCCATAACATCTCTGATTTTTAGTAGTTTTTTGAATAGCAGTGAGTCGTCTTTCCTTGGCAAAACATCCCAAATACTTGCCCTCTTTAAATAAAATTGATTTACCCAACGTATCCAAAGTGTATTCTTCTTTTGATGAATATTCCAAGTGATTTAGCAAGTAATATCGAATTCCATCTTTTCATGTCTCTAAATCCAAGGCCACCTTTATATTTCGGTAGGCAAACGTCCCTCCGCGCTACAAAAAGCTTCTAAGATCCCCAAAGGAAATTACGGCATAGACAAATGATTCTTGAAATGATAGTTGTCGGGATGGGAAAAATAGAAAGTCAAAAACATTCAACTCCTTGGAGCACTTGTCTTGGTTTGACGGATGATTGATAGGGATGACAACGGTTCGGTTAGGGGTCGGCTCGCCAAAACCATAACCGCACCACCA